CGATAGACTGTGGCTGTTACTTTAAATAAAATATATATAGGAAGATCTATTTATATATCTTTTTAATATGGTGTAGCAAAACGAAAAAAATCCAGAAAAATGTCATTAACTAGCTGGATAATTTGTGAAAAGATCACTTTTTTCAAAAATTATACACATTAAACAAGAGAGAATAAAAATGCAAGGTACAGAAAGTTGGAAAACTGGATACCATCTGGAATAAAATATAGTTGAATCTAGACTTCACACCTTATGTCAGATTGCTTTCTGGGTGGATTAGAAAAGTGTAAAAATTAAACTATGGAGGTACTAAGAAAAACCATGGAATTTTTTCTAAATGGCAGAGAGAATAGGCCTTTGCAATATGATAAAAATCCCAAGATCTATGGAAAAGATGGATAAATTCACATAAACATAAAACATTTTTGCATGGCAAAACCCACCATGAATAAAATAAAAAAGACATGGCAACCAGGGAAAATACTTGCAGCTCATAGTAAAGATCAAATTTTCCTACAAGTTAATCAGAAAATGAATAAAAATACACATGGACAAAGGATATGAACAAATTTTATAAAAGGAAATATAATTGCTCTTAAATATGAAAACTCATCTTACTTAAAATATGGGAAATGCCCAATAAAGGTGCACCAAAATAGTATTTTCGCCTCAGATTGATTCACATCAAAAAGTTTGACAGCACTTCATGGAGAGAGGCTCTGCCAATCACTCCTGTGATAGTGTGCGTTAGTATCAGCTCTGTGATGGGCAATTCTACCAGTTGTACTTCTTAGGAACTTCACGTGGGTAAACTCACATGTATGTGAAATGATGTATGCGTAAGATTTATTCATTGAGCCAAATATGCCATTGATGTGTGATTTCAAAATCTTCAAAAGACAGCATTATATAATGCAAACTATTTGATATTAGATACAAATATCCTTGTTTTTTTTTCTCAATATTGAATATGTTTGGAACTAATATACAATTTATTTTGAACCTTTTTCATTTCTAATTTGTTGCCTAGAATTGCTTTGAGCCTGAGTAAAACAGCGTTTTGTATTTTTGGTTTATTGATTGGTGTCTTTTCATATGCTAGAGACTTTTATGTGGTTTTTCTTATCTAAAAATTCTCAGCTGTAAAAATTGCCTTATTATGTCCTACTTTTATCTTCTTCATGTACATTTCTCCAAGGTAAAATATTTTTAATTTTACAGACAGTAGCTCTTGATGGAACATTATTTTTAAAATCTGGGGTGATCTCTGGAGGTTCAAGTGACTTAAAATACAAGGCTCGATGCTGGGATGAGAAAGAGATAAAGAATTTAAGAGACAGAAGAACCCATCTAATGCAAGAATTAAAGGTAAATCCACATTATAAAAGTTATAGAATACTAAGTAGAATAATTATGTTTTTTAAACTAATTTGCCCTATATTATAACATACAAAAATAAATTCCAGATAAATTAATCTACTTGAATGTTAAAAAAATTTTAATAAGGAGAAAGAGCCATTGTGTATGTTTTCTTAAAGTTACAAATGAATACTGTAGGTTCTGTACTATCAAAGAACTTCTTACAAATTGACATGAATAACGACATTATGATAGAAACACCTGGGCAAAGGATAGGATTAAACAATTCAGAGAAAGAACTCCATATGGCTAGTGCACATGAAACAATGCTCAATATAGAATAGAGTACTTAGATGAATACTAATTAAATTAAGATTACTTCATACCTATCAAAGAGACTTGGAAAAATATCTTTGCTGGTGGAGATGTAAAGAAACATGAGCTCATACATTATTTATAGAAATGTAAATTATTATAGTCTTGGGGAAAGTACTTGGTACCAGCTATTAAGAACGTGAATACATTTGACCCGTCAATCTCACCCTGGGGAATTGATTGCATGGAAATAGGAGCACCAGTGCTTATAGTAAAGGCAGACATTCAAGGATGTTGTGCAGCATTGTTTGTGGTCGCAAAACCCTGGAAACAAAGTGAATGCCCCGTATTTAGGGAATAAATAATTTTGGTACAGACTCACTCTGGAATAATACGCAGCTATTAAAAGAATGAATTTAGAGCTTTATCTTTTTTTTTTAATATATTTTATTGATTTTTTTTACAGAGAGGAAGGGAGAGGGATAGAGAGTTAGAAACATTGATGAGAGAGAAACATCGATCAGCTGCCTCCTACACACTCCCCACTGGGGATGTGCCTGCAACCAAGGTACATGCGCCTGACCGGAATCAAACCCGGGACCCCTCAGTCCGCAGGCCGACTCTCTATCCGCTGAGCCAGACCAGTTAGGGCCATCCCTATGATTCTTAATTTGCAAAATAAGAAAAAAACATAGGTAGATATGTATACACATGTTCATGTAAGGCCTTGGAGTAAAATACTGAAGAGCATACACTAGGCAGGTAATTTGGTTGAGTAAAGAGGGTAAGTGAAGGGAGAAGGGAGTGGACGAGGCAAGCAGAAAGGTAAGGGCGCACTAAAAGCCAGGCGCAGTGCGCCACACGGTCCCTCCCTGTGCCTGAGCGGAACCGCAGTCCCCACTCTGCCGTTTAACCACAGTGTCCATTGTAAATACTACCAAGAGCGCCACAACGATAAGTTGATGATGCTGTGTGGCTTCTTGGTTACTCCAGACGGCTTACATTCTTAACAGCCCAGAAGCAGGGAAGAGGGAATGTGGCTGTGGCTATCTGTAAAAAGTCAGTGACATTACGACTTATGAAAGCACTTGGAAAAGTGCCAGTGCTTTTTCTGCTGTAAAATGTTCTCTATGTTTCTCTCTCTCTTTAGGATTTAATGAAGATGCTTCGCAAGGAAGCAGATTTAAAACAAATACAGGCTCTAGTACAAGGAACCCATACACGACTCAAATACTCACAGAGTGAACTAGAGATGATGAAGAAAAAGCACCTTGCTGCCTTTCAGCGGGTAATAGAGACTTTCATAAAGTTCTGTGGACATTAGAGCCAGGATATGGAGTTTCAGGAGTTACATTTCGGTAGCACCATGTAATTTTACACTCTACTTCATGATTTGAGATTATATTATAGTCCTTTAGTTACTTTATTTTTATGGTTGTTAATCTTATACAATTGTACCTGAATTTATCCTACCTCATGGATTCCCCTTTTATTCTAAAAGATACCTAGCACATGTTTTGCTTTACTATATAAAGCTGAAATAGCCATGCTAAAAAAGATTTTTTTTTCTTGTAATTAGGAGCAATCTCAGCTACAAAGTGAACTACTAAATATTGACTCTCAATGTTCTATGTTGAATGAAGCAATCAAAAAGTGGCAACAAAGGATTAAAGAACTTCAAGAAAAGATAGACAAGGTCATGAATGATATATTTATTACTAAGTGGCATGTAGAACGTAGCTCTAGACCAGATGCCAGATTTAGAGCTTCTTGAATATGTGCTAAGTTTTACTGGTTTGCAAAATGGATTTTTGGTTTAGTAATCTTAATTACTAAATAAAGATGGCTCAGTTGGTTGGAGCATCATTCCATAACACCAAAAGGTTTCAGGTTCAATCACCCGTATGGGAGGCAACCAATCTGTTTCTCACATCAATGTTTCTCTCTCTCCTTCTCCTTCTCCCCCTTCCACTCTCTCTAAAAATCAATAAAACATATGCTTGAGTGAGGATTTAAACCAAAAGATTCGCTCAGTAATTATTTCCGGAACATTTATTGTATTTGCCAGGCACCGTGGTTGGCTCTGGGGAGACAAAGCTTTGGTCATCTAGCCTCTGCTTCTTAATAGGAACTTTCTCATTTAATTCATTTCCCTGTGGCTTCTCTTTGATCCCTAGAAAGTTGTTCGTCACACCATCACTCAGTAATTTTCACCCATTGCTTTTAGTTCTACCTTTTATCACATGATTTGGAGCCATACTTACATAGCCCCTTAATGTCGCTTTTCCAGGTTAAGCCAGTTCTGGTAACCATCCTCTCGGGTGCTCTGTTGTTTGTCAATGCCCAGAACAGCGCCTAATGTCAAAGCGCTGTCTGAGCAGGACAGAGTGCCTGGAGCACCGGAGCTGTCGCTTCCACGGCTTGGATGACCTACTGTGGAATCATAGCTCACCATTGCACCAATCAGTCACATTCATAGTTCTTTTATATTCAACTAAAATCTGAAAGTTTTAAACATGTCTTGCTGTAAAAATAGGTCTGTTTGTTGTATAATTTTACATAAATGCAGGGCTTTAAAAATATTGAAGTTAAATGTTATTTTGTTGGATTTGGCTTATTCTAGTTTTTCCAAATCTTTTTGGGTCTTAATTCTCTTCTCTAGTCAGGCTTTATTCTGCCTAAGACACGGTGGTATTGCTCGTAAAAAGAATATTTTATTTATATATAATATTACATTTTGGTGTGGCTAATGTAATTGAAATGTTTTTCATTTTGAACACTTCATGAAGCCAAACTCTTAATAGAACTACTTTTGTGCATTCTTATTTAATTTTTAGAATAAGAAACTTGAAAATAGATGGGCGTAGTTTATGGAGTTGAAGAACAAGAAAGCACAGGCTCCAAAGAGTACAATAATGCTTGTTGGGATTAGTTTTTTGCCTAATCCAGGAAATCCTTAGAGAGGAAAATTTAGATTTAAGCATTGTCTGTATACTTCCTTAAAATTGATTATTAAACCAATTGTTTTGAAATCATGTAAAAGGTTGAAGATGATATTTTTCAACACTTCTGTGAAGAAATTGGTGTGGAAAATATTCGTGAATTTGAGAAAAAACATGTTAAACAGCAACAAGAAATTGATCAAAAAAGGTATTTTTGTTTAAAATGTTGTTGAGCAAAGTACACATATATAAATAACTATTATTTCATAATTCAGGGGATGCCTGAGGTATTTATTTCAGTGTATCAAGAAATAGCTAGTAATTACTCATGTTCTTATAAAGAGATCTAGTTCTTTCATTTCATAATTTTTTAAAAAATATATTTTATTGATTTTTTACAGAGAGGAAGGGAGAGAGAAAGAGAGTTAGAAACATCGATGAGAGAGAGACATCGATCAGCTGCCTCCTGCACACTCCCCACTGGGGATGTGCCCGCAACCCAGGTACATGCCCTTGACCGGAATCGAACCTGGGACCTTTCAGTCCACAGCCCGACGCTCTATCCACTGAGCCAAACCGGTTTCGGCCATTTCATAATTTTTTAAAGAGAACACAAATATGCAAAGTAAAAGAACGGGAACATAATAACAGTGCTTATCAAAAGAATAATAAGACACTAATTTACTTAGTTCCCTGTGAATATTTATACATGTAGATAAAATGATAATTTTCAAGAAATAATATATTACTAAAATAGAAAATTCTAAGGAGGCCAGTTACCATAGGAAAAGAAAGTAAAAAACTTCTACCCACCCCATCCCCAAATTCACCAGGACATATGGTTTCACAGAGGAATCATCCCAGCAAACTTTAAGACACAGGAAACTTCAACAGTTAATGTTTAAGAAAACCTTCAGTAATTACACTGTTTGATAGTACAGAAGAGGGAGAAATGCATCTTTGTATGGAAGTCAAAGTTCTCTTCTAATTCTAGTTTGCTGAGATGTTTTATCAGGAAGGAGGGTTGAGATTGTCAGATACTTTTTCTGCCCTCTATTGAAAGGAGTGTATGGTTGGGTTTGGGGGGGTTGGTTATTAATATTGTAAATGACATTGTTTGACTTTAGAATGTTCAACCAACTTTGCACAACTAGAATGAACCCACTTGGTCTTGTATTATCCTTTTTAAATGTTTTTGGATTTGATTTGCTTAAATTTTGTTAAGAATTTTTGCACCTACATTCATGAGTACGTTGCCCTATTTCAATGTCTTTGTCGTGTTTTTGTATCAGGGTAATGCCAGACCATAAAATTAGTCAGGAAGTGTTCTCCTCTGTATTTTTTTCTGGGAGAGTTTCTGTAGAAGAATATTTCTTACCTAAATGTTTGATAAAACTTACAAGGGAAGCCCTAGAGCAGCGGTTCTCAACCTGTGGGTCGCGACCCCTTTGGTGGTTGAACGACCTTTTCACAGGAGTTGCCTAAGACCATCCTGCATATCAGATTATGATATGATTTACATTATGATTCATAACAGTAGCAACA